CCACTGTCCAGTGCGGTTACCCACAGCTGCAGGTCATGGAACTGTTCATAGTCGAAGGAGTGCAGTGCATGCAGGACTCCACTATTAGAGTTGATGGAGATATAGGAGGATAGAGGTACTCCCTGGACGGTGTCCTCAGCCAGGGAGTAAGTGACCTGTGCATTCTCTTTGCTGTCCAGGTCAAGTGCAGTCACTGAGAAGAAGGAGGCTCCTCTGGGATTGTTTTCACGAATATAAGCAGAGTAAGAGGAGTGAGCAAAAGTGGGTGGGTTATCGTTATCATCTGCTACATTCAATGCAATCTGAGTTTCTGCAGACAAGGGAGGACTTCCCTGATCAGTGGCTGTCAGTGTTACATTGTAGCTCTGGACCTGCTCTCTGTCCAACACTCTGTTGGTTAACAGCTTATAATAATTTCCATAAGTCTTTTCTAATTTAAAAGGCAGATCGTTAGGAATAAAACAGGAGACTTGGCCATTTTCTCCAGAGTCTTGATCTTGCACATTTAGAAGAGCAATTACTGTGCCTGGAGGAGAATTTTCTGGCACTGAATTAGTAGAAGATGTGATAGTTATTTCTGGAACATTATCATTCACATCCAGAACTGTGATTAAGATCTTAGCAGTGGTTGAGAGACCTCCACCATCTTGGCTTTGAATTTCCATCTCATAGAATCTACATTTCTCAAAATCCAAAGACCCCTGTATTAAGACTTCTCCAGTTCGAGAATCCAATTGGAATATTTCAGAAGCTTTGCTTTCCATGTTTCGGAAAGAATATGCAACTTCCCCATTGAGTCCTTCATCGGGATCCGTTGCTTTTACCACGAGCACCCGAGTCCCAGAGCTGAGGTTTTCTGGGACACTCACTCCATATACAGGCTGTGTAAACTTTGGGATATGGTCATTTACGTCGAGAACCACCACGCGAATGGGAACAGCACCCTGGCGGATGGGATCGCCTCCATCTATGGCAGTGAGGAGGAGACGGTGAGCAGCCTCCTTCTCCCGGTCCAGGCTCCCCTCCAGCACTAGCTCCGGATTCTTAGCTCCATCTGCTCCTCCTCGCATTTGCAAGGAAAAGTAACTGTTAGGGTTGAGCTGGTAGCGCTGGAGGGAGTTCACTCCCACATCTGGGTCCCTAGCTTTAGGAAGGGGAAACCGCCATCCCGGAGTTACATGCTCACTGACTTTTATCTCTACCTCCTCCTCCTGGAAGCTGGGGGCATTATCATTAATATCCAGTATTTCTACCTCCAATCCGTAAATCTTCAGGGTATCTTCCACGAGTACTTCCATATTTAAAAAACAGGAAGACACTGTGTCACAGAGCTCCTCCCGGTCTATTCTGCCTGCGGTGATCAAACTGCCACTTCGCTGATTCAGAGCGAAAAGCTGCGTTTTTCCTCTAGAGATGATGCGGACTCGGCGTTCCGCCAGTTCCCACGGTTCCAGCCCCAAGTCCTTGGAAATATTGCCCACGAAGAAGCCTTTGTCTGTCTCTTCAGGAACCGAGTATCGGATCTGCCCGGCCCCAGACTCCCGCAGCGTCCCCAGGAAAATGTAAAACAGGACCAGCCCGCGGCAGTCCAGGCGCAGGAGCCGATATGCCATGGCAGTGGCTGAGCCTGTATTCCGCGATTTCTCAAGCCGTTCTGTTCTAAATCAGTTTATGTACCCACGAAGTTCCGGGCCGATTGCATCCAAACATGTTGGAGATCGAAGAAAAGTACTCTTAAGTTTCCAGCATCAGGATCTGTGAGTGTCCTCGCGCTGCTCTGCTGTAGAGGCGGAGGGAGGGACTCTGAAGTGCGCAGCTTTCCATTCCCTGATTAGTGAACAGCGGCGCCTAGAGTCCAATTTTATTATTGCAGCGAGTAAGAAAAACCCAACTAATGTGCCTCTTTCAGAAGTTATTACACTCATCTGTTCGGGAATTACACGTATGTGTAAAACTTAACGTTGCAGACAATAAGGAGTTACATAATATGATGCTAGAGGCTTACCAAGGGCACTTATTAAAGGAGTAATTATTAAAAGGGCTTGCTTAATTAAAACAAAAGTTTTCAAATATTATTGTGTCTGAAAACCTGCAGTTTAGATTCGGTGCCTACTGATTTTTAACTATGGAAGAGAACAGCATTTATGGATGTGAAACTAGCACGGTTCCAACAAAATTATCAGATAAGATGCTTAACTAAAATTCTTACCAATTTATTTATTGAGTAAAATAAAGATGAAACGTTTGAGAAAATTTGCATGGCATTTGGGTTGTCTTTTAAAATACCATTATATAAAAATATAACTATAGTCCATATCCTTGACTAAAAGGTATTCTATTTCATGAAAAATTTACCCAAGATTTCTCTATATATTTTACTATAAGATGCATTTGAATAGTAGGAGTGAAGCATTGTAAACTTAGCCTTAATAGTGATACTCACACGTTTGACCTGGCTTTATTTTAGTAACTTTATCAAGAGTTTGAATATAGAGTCTTGAAATAACAGAGCTACATCGGAATGTAATGGCATATTGGAATATGAAAAGCAGTATTTTAAAAACTTACCTGTTGAAAAGTCGTCTTATCTGCTTCAACGCTAGGAGTTAAAATGCTAGCCAGTAACACTGAAGAACTATCTTTGTTGAGAACATCTTCTGTAGCTTGACAATAACCAACAGATGTGAGAAAATTTAAATCTGCATTAGTTTGATCCCCAGACATACACAAATTATAGGCATAGGGCAATGTTCCCTGACTGTAGTTTGAGGGAATCTCGGGTGGAGACTTGGAACAGAGAACAGACCCAAAGCAGCCCCCAGCGGCGGGGCTAGAAGAGTGTCGCAGGCGCAGGGCAACGGCCAGAATCACCGCGAGGAGGAAGAGCACCGAGATCAAGGCCAAGGCCAACACCAGGTAAAACTGCAGCTCAGCCTGGGGGTCAGCGGGAGCGGGGCCGTCGCTAAGATCCGGCAGCGCCTCGTGGAGGCTGTCTGCGAAGACCAGGTGCAGCGTGGCGGTGGCCGAGAGGGGAGGCTGTCCCCCATCGCGCACAGCGACCAGCAGGCGCTGTCTGGCCGCGTCCCTGTCGCCCAAGGCGCGCGCCGTGCGCACCTCGCCCGTGCGCAGCCCCAGGCTGAAGAGGCCGGGCTCGCTGGCCTGCAGCACGTGGTAGGACAGCCAGGCGTTGTGTCCCGAGTCGGCGTCCACCGCCACCACCTTGGTGACCAGGTAGCCGGGCTGCGCGGCGCGCGGCACCGTGTCGAAGAGCGCCGAGCCGTCGGGCCCCAGCGCCGGGTACAGCACCGTCGGCGCGTTGTCGTTGCGGTCGCCCACCAGCACGCGCAGGCTCACGTTGGCGCCGAGCGCGGGCGAGCCCTGGTCGCGGGCCTGCAGCGTCAGCTCGAAGGCGCGCAGCTGCTCGTGGTCGAAGGCGCGCTGCGCGAACACCGCGCCGCTCTGCGCGCTCACCGACACGTAGGACCACAGCGCCCGCGGCTCCAGGTCGCTGGCCACGATGGAGTAGGAGACGTGGCCGTTGGGCCCCAGGTCGGGGTCGGAGGCGCTGACTTGCGCGATGGAGGCGCCGGGCGGGTTGTTCTCTGCCACGTGGACCACGTAGGAGGCCTGCTGGAAAACCGGCGCGTTGTCGTTGACGTCGGTGATGTGCAGGGTGATGGTGGCGCTGGAGGAGAGGGGCGGCTTGCCCCTGTCGGTGGCTGTGATGGTGACGTTGTACTCCGGGGTCTGTTCCCGGTCCAGGGGCCCGTCTGTTACTAACTTGTAGTAGTTGTTAGAAGAAGAATGAATCTTAAATGGAACATCTCTGTTTAAATCACACGTGACTTCCCCATTTTCCCTGGAATCCTGATCCCGTGTTTTGAAGAGAGCCACAACCATTCCTGGATGGGAATCCTCCACAATCTGGTCAGACAGAGTAGTGATGATTATCTCCGGGCTGTTGTCGTTTTCGTCTAGAACTTCTATAATTACTTTACACTGGGTGGAGAGGGATCCTCGGTCCTTTGCTTCTACATCCATGGTGTATCTTTCTATTTCTTCAAAATCCAAGGGTTGATGAGTTATAATGTTTCCTGTGGCAGAATCCAGAAAGAATGGGTGCTGGATTCTGTCAGTCACACGAAGGAATGAGTAGGTGATGTCCGCATTGACGCCTTCGTCTTGGTCAGTGGCGCTCACCCTGAGCACGGAGGTGCCTGGGGGCACATCTTCCCTAAGAGTGACCCTGTACACGTCTTGGCTGAACACAGGAGGATTATCATTGGCATCCACCACCAGGATTCTGATGTGAGCGGTGCCGCTACGTGGCGGATCCCCACTATCTAACGCTGTCAGAACCAAGTGGTGACTGCTCTGCGTTTCTCTGTCCAGGGTCTTCTTCAGTACCAGTTCTGGGTATTTGCCACCGTCTAGGTTGTCTTTCACCACCAATGAGAAGTACTCGTTAGGACTTAGTTGGTATTTGCTCAATGAATTCGTACTGATATCGGGATCTTTTGCAGACTGAAGAATTGTACCCATGCCCAGGTTGACAGATTCACTGATTTCTAAGTTTATGTCATCTTTATCGAATTGAGGGGGGTGGTCATTAATATCCTCAACAACCACGATGATGTGAAAAATATTTAATGGATTTTCCACCACCGCTTCCAACTGCAACTCACAACTTCTTCTCTCTTTGCATATCTGCTCACGGTCTATTCTGTCCTTCACAAGTAAGTCCCCGCTCTCCGCATCTACGCTAAAAAGCAGCTTCTCAGCGCTAACTCGCAGCTTCCGCTCCGAAACATCCAGGACGCTGAGCCCTAGATCTTTAGCGAGGTTCCCCACCACCGAGCCCTTGGCCAGCTCCTCGGGAATCGAGTAGCGGATCGGCTCGCAGAGCGCGGGGTAGAACAAAGGCAGCAGAAAGGGAAGTATTACCTGCCGCCGGCCGGCCGGGCGCCTCTGCGCGCAGCTCCCTCCCATTGCGCGCTCTAGTTCTAGCTGGATCCCAGTCTTTCCGGAAAGCCGAAGAAATTGCAATCCACAGTGTTACTGGAAGAGCATTCGGCCCAAGACAGGCAGAACTGTGAATCCGTGTATGCTGGGCACTCTGGCCGGCGGGGAGCCCCGGTGTGTGAGCGAACTTCCTTCCCCTGCCCAGGAAATCTCAGGCTATGAGGAATCCCTGGCGTCCGCGTTTGCCCTGCACTGGCCGACAGCGGCGCCCAGAGGCCCCACGAGGAATTGTATTCTAGTTTTTCTCTTGAATTCAGGGGATTTTTTAAAACAATTCCAGATGGTAACTGCTAAAACACGTCAGTCTTATTCCTTAGTGATTCCGTTGTCATCATGAAATATATTTTTCACATGGTGAAGACTATCATGTGTTTTCATGTTAAAATTTTATATAGATTTTGAATAAAGGCATAAAAGAATATAGAGTGCAAAATAGGTCTCCTATCCCATGGCCCACTACTTTCGAGTTCTTCCATCCTGAGGCAATCACTGTTGTTTCTTTTAAGAGCAATTATCCATAAAGGGAAATACCAAAGATAAGCGAAAAACAAAACAAAACAAAAAAACCTTGTCTTCAATCCTACTTTACATTTGGCTACAAAGTATTAACCTATCCTCCCAAATTTAGGACTAGAATGCAACCATTACCATCTTCATTACAGTTTTCCAGGGAATCCTCATACTGCTTTTAAATAATTATATTTAACAACATTTGCTTACAAGAGCTGCCATGTCAAATAAGTAGTTTTTAAAAACTGTATTTTTAAAGATAATAAAATTACTTAAGGTGGATGCACAATAATTTTGACTATCTTGGATAGAAATTTTAAATAACAATTTCAGTTATTTAAAAGCCAATTACTATGACCCTAACGGGTATGCTCTCCTTCCATAGACACATTATTGAACAAAGGCTGAATAACATGGGGGAAAAATTTGGTCTTCTAAGTATTTTGAGATGCATTAGGCCACTCTTTATGCTACCATATTAGTTTAGTAGAATATTAGTAATGAATTAAAAGTAAGAGATCAAACCAAATGCATCACTATCTTCACTGAACTAAGTGGGCTCATCAATAACTCCACTGATCATTCGTTTAGAATAATTTTGTGTACTTCTCTGCTTATAGTTGAATCTCCTGAAGAAATGACATTTCTTTCTGGACTTTGTTTATTGACTCTTAATATCAGAGTTTCAGGTGGATTTTCCTTCCGCTAATTAAGGAGCTACATGAAATGCCCTTGGTACATATTCCTTTCTTGAGAACATGTACAAATTTATTTGTCTCCCCAATCTATACATTTTTCCACCTTAGAGATTGGAGAATTTAACAACAAACCAGAGAAAGCAGAGCCTAAAATTTGCTTAACTTAACCTTTTAGAGGCCCTCTATACTTGCTATTGAGCAAGGAAAGTCAAATTAAAAAGCTGTCTTCCATGTAACAGTTTGAAATTAGAATCACAAGCAAAAAAGGATGCCGCAGTGTTACCAGGTATGATTATACTTAAAAAATTTAAGCACAAATTGTTATGAATTTGTTAGTGGAATATGAAGGAAAAATTTTAATGTCTAGCAAGTATATTCAATTATAACTATAGATACAAAGTATAGTCTGAAAAATATAACCACAACTGTGTATTATCCTCCTTGGGAAGAACAACATTGAGTGGCCTTATGTTTGGGTTGTGTTTCCAGTGAGGCTAATTCATTTGTTTCTGACATTTACCTGTTCTTACCAGACCTGCCTTCAAAACAGAGCTTAGGGTTGTCTAAGCTGCAAGGATTTTTAACATATGGCCAAAAGTACACAAATTGACAGGCAGTTCTGTATGGAATTCCTCTCTTAGGAATTGTTAGTATTGTACTCAACAAAACTATAAAATATTAAACTCTGCAAAGCTAATCGTAATAGCTTTATGACAAAAGGCCTTCATTGGGTTTAGGTGACTATTAACCAGAAAGTAAAAGCACATTAGCCTTAGCCATCACATTCTACTTGTTTTAGCAAGAAGCAAATGTCACAGAAACAGAGAAAAGTGGCAAAATAAGTATTGAAAATTTATATCATCGCGCTGCAAACTAAAAATAGAAGCAATGATAATTTTTAAGCAAAATTAAAAGACTAAAAGTAGAACTCACAGGAACCAAAGGGGTATCTTCTATAGGAAACTTCGAATCATCTAAGAGAGACAAGGGATCCTTTCTCTCGCAGCTCTCGTGGCTGATGAGCGTGTCCGCATAGTTGGGCTGGGGGAAGATCACGTGACTCTCCCGCGAGTCCGCAGTGAGGGACACCTCGTGGGAATAGGTCTGCAGGAAAGCCCGCACCCCGTCCACGCCCACAAAGGGCGAGGCCCCCACGCCCACCAGCCCGCCGCCCACGGCCGGCAGCAGACGCGACGCGTGCCAGCGCCTCAGCCTGAGGGCCAGCAGAACGATGACAAAGGCGAGGAAGACGCAGGAGACCGCGGCCACTGCCACCACCAGGTACAGCGTGAGGCCAGAGGCGTCCGGGTCGGCCGGGGCCTTCATGCTGTCCAGGTCGGCCAGGACGTCTGGGATGCTGTCGGCCACGGCCACCGTGAGCGTGACGGTGGCCGAGAGAGGGGGCTGGCCGTGGTCCTGGACCGCCACCACCAGGCTCTGCTTGAGCGCGTCTCTGTCCAGCAGGGCCCGCGCTGTGCGCACCTCGCCCGTGTGCAGCCCCACCGCGAAGAGCCCTGGCTCGCTGGCCTTGAGCAGGCGGTAGGACAGCCAGGCGTTCTGGCCCGAGTCTCTGTCCACCGCCACCACTTTGGTCACCAGGTAGCCGGGCTCTGCGGAGCGGGGTGCCAGCTCCACGCCTGTGGACCCGTCGGTGGGGAGGGCGGGGTACAGGATTTCGGGGATGTTGTCGTTCTGGTCGAGAATGAACAGGTTCACGGACACGTTGCTGCTGAGTGGTGGGTCCCCACTGTCGGTGGCTGTCACCTGCACCTGCAGATCCCGAAACTGCTCATAGTCAAAGGATCGCAGTGCATACAGAACTCCTGTGTCAGAGTTGATGGAGATGTAGGCCGATAGAGGTACCCCCTGGACATTGTCTTCAGCTAGGGAATAAATAACCTGAGCATTCATTTTGCTGTCTGGGTCTAGGGCAGTCACAGAGAAGATGGAGGCACCCCTGGGGTTGTTCTCTGGGATATAGGTAGAGTAGGAAATATGAGAGAAGGTGGGTGGGTTGTCATTGATATCTGCCACTTGCAAGGTGAAGTGAGTTTCAGTTGATAGGGGTGGACTTCCTCCGTCTGTGGCTGTTACTGTGATATTGTAAGAGGATATCTGTTCTCTGTCAAGGGCCCTCTGTGTCACCAATCTATAATAACTGTCAATGGACTTTTCTAACTTAAATGGTAGATTCCTTGATATGGAACAGGTTACCTGTCCGTTCTGCCCAGAGTCTAGATCATGTACGTTTAAAAGGGCTATAACAGTCCCCAGAGGTGAATCTTCTGTCAAAGGACTAAACAGAGACGTGATGGTCACCTCTGGACTGTTGTCATTCACATCTTCTACAGTAATTAACACTTTTGCAGTTGCAAGATATGCTCCTCCATCTTCTGCTTGTATTTCTATTTCATAGAAATCTGTTTCTTCATAATCTAGATTTTCTGATATTTTTATTTCCCCAGTATTTTTGTTCAGTTGGAATTTCGACAATTGTGTGTCAGGTAATTTTCGGAATGAATATGTCACTTCTCCATTAGCTCCTTCATCCCTATCCGTGGCGGTGACTGTCAGGAGCTGTGTGCCCACAGGCAAGTTCTCTGGGACACTCACTCGGTATTCCGGCAAGGTGAAGACCGGCGCGTTGTCATTTGCATCAAAGACAGTCACACTGATGAAGACAGTGCCAGATCGGAGAGGGTCACCGCCATCGGAGGCAGTGAGGACCAGGTGGTGCAGAGCCTCTTCCTCCCGATCCAGGCCGTGCTCCAGCACCAGCTCCGGGACCCTGATGCCGTTGGCACGGCTCTGAACTGCCAGGGAGAAGTGCTTATTGGGGCTGAGCTGGTAGCTCTGCAGGGAGTTCGCGCCCACATCCGGATCAACAGCTTCCGGGAGAGGAAAACGCATTCCTGGAGCGACATTTTCATTAATTTTTACGTCTACATTTTCTGCTTGGAATTTTGGGGCATTATCATTGATATCAGTGATTTCTATTTCTATCCCAAAAAGCTTAACCCTATCTTCCACAAGAATGTTAAAACTCACCAGGCACCGCGCGCTCTGAGCGCAGAGCTCCTCCCGGTCTATCCTGCCCGCGGTGACCAGGCTGCCGCTCCGCGCGTTCAGGGCAAAGAGCTGCGTCCTGCCTCGGGAGACGATGCGCACTCCGCGCTCCGCCAGCTCCCGGGGCTCCAAACCCAAGTCCTGGGCGATGTTGCCCACGAAGGAGCCCTTGTCTAACTCCTCAGGAACGGAATAGCGGATCTGCCGGGCCTCGGCCTCCCAGGGCACACCCAGGAAAAGGCAGAGCAGGACCAGCGCTCTTTGATCGGAGCGATTCCTTTGAGCGGCCATTGTTGTCTGGTCACGAAATTGATTCTCGCCAAATCCTCACTGGGCAAGTGGGTTGTTTCGACCTGTTCCTTTTCCTTTCTCTGCAGGGAGTCTCTGTAGCCAGTCAGCCGCACCTTAAATTCTGAAATGAGTTTTGCTGGCAGTCCTAGGAATTGAGGAGCTTTGTGTAGTTGAAGCCCTGGGAATCCGGATTGAGCGCTGGCTGCATTTCTCTCCTCGTAGGTGAACAGCGGCGCTCAGAGTCCTCAGAAGTTACTGCACGCACTGTGTATGCAGTAGAAAACAAACGCTACTCTTTGTTGCGTAGTTTATTTTAAATACGTCTTTAGTTTCTCCACCGATATCTTTCAATCAGCTACTATTTGTAGGTTTCTTAGTGGGTTTGGTAAGTGAAATGAATATACTAGAAAATATTAAATGAAAGTATGTGGTTAAATAATATATTTGCAACACTTATTTTCCCAGTAGAGATGTATCTACTTTAAAAGGTAAGTAATGCTTATTTTATTGCCTATGAACTTATAGCTATATTTAGAAGTCTTACAATTTTATTTGAATTTTGATTTAAATGTTCCAATTATGTTTAGTAGACATTTCTATAGAGCCGATATGAGATGTACTCCATGTAAATCACTTAGAATCTTTTCTATTTTAGGTTTAACTAAATAGTTAAATTTGTTTAACATTAAGGCTGTGTAAGAGATTTTCAAAATTTCTTTTATAAAATAGTTTTATTAAGCCTCAATAATTTTTTTTGGAAAATGTATTTTTATTATATGTACATATTGTTAGAAGTCTATTTGACCTATTTAAATGAATTGAGCAGTTAATCACAAACTAAAAGGAACATGTCTGTGTTGTAATGGGAAAAGAAATATGTACAAGAATTTCAAGTGCTGCAATTAAAAAATAAAGTTATAAATAGGGATATATATAGTTTATTAGATAAGTGTTTATATCAAATTACCTGTTTTCATAAGAGCATGGATGCCAATACAAAAATCTTTTGGCATTTTTGTCTGGAAGCCCAAAGTAAAGTGGTTTTCACACCCTCATCTGTATGTGCCCATCAACCTCTCTCAAAAATGAAAAGTTTAGACGTTCACTTCTTTCATGCAGAGACAAGCTTTTCAGAAGTGTGTGTGTTCTGATGACTTCAAGTATGGAACAGTTCAGAGATTTTATCTTTTGTCTTTAAAAATGTATCAAACAATTAGAGACAGACACTGGGTGCAAAAGACAATAACATTTCATTTGCCTTCTTGGAAATTCTTTGTCTTGAAATGTAGAGGAAAAAAGATTGGAAGGAGTACAATTTGAGCTCAAAAAAGGATAAGTATATATGAGAAGAGAGCCCGAAAACCAAAGGCTGAAGACTAAAATTCCTTTGGGCAGTTAGCATTAACTTTGGGGGATCATAGAGACCTTGGTAATGGAAACAGAGTTTTAACTCCTAAGAAAAATGCATACATCTGTAACTATGTATACAATTTCAGGGATTCATGCATCTACTTACCTTCTTTCCTCAAATGCTGCCAACTTGAAAATTTTTTTAAATAAATAAAGCTAACTAAATGCACCTATGAAGGTTAGTTGTAATTAATGTTTCCTTGAAATATGTAGCTGTTTTGGTATTTAATGAGTGCCTGAATATTATTAAACTTAAAAAAACAACATAAATAAGAAGTAGAAAATTAATCTTAAATCTTAGTGAATTTGAATAGTTAGGTTATTGTTTATTTGCTAAGAAGCCAAGACCACATTCCCTCTGTTATACTTATCTGAGCTTGAGAAGATATCTCCAATTAAATGACATACTTTCTGAATTACAGAGCAACTTCCGAACCAAGTAAGTCTTGAAAAATATAATCAGCAAAGTGACATTGACAAAACAAGGTGGTGATTAGCTATGGATTTTTCCAGATATTATATATACATATATATATATGAAGTAATACACCTAAAATATGAGGAATAAGTAGAATATTACATAAGACATGAAAATGCAACTCACCGGTGTTAGGATCTCAGGATGTGAAGTCAAATTATTCCCATCCTGTAGTGGAATTAAAGCCCCAGGAGAATTACCGAAAACTATGTCTTTAGTGGAATGAAAGGGCTCGTTACATCTTAGGAAATTAAACTCTGTCTTTCCAGTATGGGCAACGCACAAGTCGTAGGAATAAGGCAAAGTCCCTTCGCTGTAGTTGGGGGGAGCCACAGGTCCAGACTTGACACACAGACCCGGCTGAAGGCAGCCCCAAGCACCGGGGCTGGACGACTGTCGCAGGCGCAGGGCAACGGCCAGAATCACCGCGAGGAGGAAGAGCACCGAGATCAAGGCCAAGGCCACCACCAGGTAAAACTGCAGCTCAGCCTGGGGGTCAGAGGGCGCGGGACGGTCGCTAAGATCCGGCAGCACGTCTTGGAGGCTGTCTGCGAAGACCAGGTGCAGCGTGGCGGTGGCCGAGAGGGGAGGCTGTCCCCCATCGCGCACAGCGACCAGCAGGCGCTGTCTGGCCGCGTCCCTGTCGCCCAAGGCGCGCGCCGTGCGCACCTCGCCCGTGCGCAGCCCCAGGCTGAAGAGGCCGGGCTCGCTGGCCTGCAGCACGTGGTAGGACAGCCAGGCGTTGTGTCCCGAGTCGGCGTCCACCGCCACCACCTTGGTGACCAGGTAGCCGGGCTGCGCGGCGCGCGGCACCGTGTCGAAGAGCGCCGAGCCGTCGGGCCCCAGCGCCGGGTACAGCACCCTCGGCGCGTTGTCGTTGCGGTCGCCCACCAGCACGCGCAGGCTCACGTTGGCGCCGAGCGCGGGCGAGCCCTGGTCGCGGGCCTGCAGCGTCAGCTCGAAGGCGCGCAGCTGCTCGTGGTCGAAGGCGCGCTGCGCGAACACCGCGCCGCTCTGCGCGCTCACCGCCACGTAGGACCACAGCGCCCGCGGCTCCAGGTCGCTGGCCACGATGGAGTAGGAGACGTGGCCGTTGGGCCCCAGGTCGGGGTCGGAGGCGCTGACTTGCGCGATGGAGGCGCCGGGCGGGTTGTTCTCTGCCACGTGGACCACGTAGGAGGCCTGCTGGAAAACCGGCGCGTTGTCGTTGACGTCGGTGATGTGCAGGGTGATGGTGGCGCTGGAGGAGAGGGGCGGCTTGCCCCTGTCGGTGGCTGTGATGGTGACGTTGTACTCCGGGGTCTGTTCCCGGTCCAGGGGCCCGTCTGTTACTAACTTGTAGTAATTGTTAGAAGAAGAATGAATCTTAAATGGAACATCTCTGTTTAAATCACACGTGACTTCCCCATTTTCCCTGGAATCCTGATCCCTTGTTTTGAAGAGAGCCACAACCATTCCTGGATGGGAATCCTCCACAATCTGGTCAGACAGAGTAGTGATGATTATCTCCGGGCTGTTGTCGTTTTCGTCTAGAACTTCTATAATTACTTTACACTGGGTAGAGAGACCACCTCCGTCCTTTGCCTCTACTTCCATGGTGTATCTTTCTGTATCTTCAAAATCCAATGATTGGTTATTCTTAATGATACCACTCTTCTCATCCAATGAGAACATGTACCTTGTACTCTGAGCAGTACTCCTGAAGTGGTAGTTGATTTCGGCATTGACTCCCTCGTCCTGGTCGCTGGCTGTCACCTGCAACACCGAGGACCCGGGGGGCAGCTTTTCACTAACACTGACTCTATATTCATCTTTGCTGAACATCGGGGGGTTATCATTGGTGTCCCTGACAAAGATTTCTATTCCAACAGAGGCACTTCGCATTGGGGTCCCTCCATCCAAGGCAGTCAGTATCAAGTGATGAGACCGCTGCTCTTCCCGGTCTAGGGCTTTCTCCAAAGATAACTCTGGGTATTTGCCACCATCGGAATTAACTCTAACCATTAATGAAAAATAAGTGTTTGGACTTATCTGATAATCTTTAACTGAGTTCATGTTTATATCAGGGTCAGTGGCAGGATCAAGGGATATACGTGCCCCTACGGACACAGATTCAAAAATTTCTAAATGTATTTCCTTTTTATCGAATTGAGGGGGATGGTCATTAATATCCTCAACAACCACGATGATGTGAAAAATATTTAATGGATTTTCCACCACCGCTTCCAACTGCAACTCACAACTTCTTCTCTCTTTGCATATCTGCTCACGGTCTATTCGGTCCTTCACAAGTAAGTCCCCGCTCTCCGCATCTACGCTAAAAAGCAGCTTCTCAGCGCTAACTCGCAGCTTCCGCTCCGAAACATCCAGGACGCTGAGCCCTAGATCTTTAGCGAGGTTCCCCACCACCGAGCCCTTGGCCAGCTCCTCGGGAATCGAGTAGCGGATCGGCTCGCAGAGCGCGGGGTAGAACAAAGGCAGCAGAAAGGGAAGTGTTACCTGCCGCCGGCCGGCCGGGCGCCTCTGCGCGCAGCTTCCTCCCATTGCGCGCTCTAGTTCTAGCTGGATCCCAGTCTTTCCGGAAAGCCGAAGAAATTGCAATCCACAGTGTTACTGGAAGAGCATTCGGCCCAAGACAGGCGGAACTGGGAATCCGTGTATGCTGGGCACTCTGGCCGGCGGGGAGCCCCGGTGTGTGAGCGAGCTTCCTTCTCCCTGTGTTGGTGGCTGCCCAGGAAATCCCAGGCTAGAGGCTGCGGAATCCCGGGCGTCCGCGTTTGACCTGCACTGGCCGACAGCGGCGCTCAGAGGCTCCATGAGGTATCGCAGTCTGACATTTTCGAATTCAATTTATCTCCAGAATTTATTAAAATACAATTTATATAAATTATTCTTTAAAAATGCAGTTATATAACAGCCCCCAAATTTAGTTTTACCACGGTATTATAGAGTGTGTCTATATGCTTAGTATTTTTAGGAAATTTATTATGGAAAATTTCAAACTTATATGAAACTATGCAATGTTATCATTGAATTTTCATATACCCATCATCACCTAAATGCAAGAATTATCAACTCAAGGCCATCTTTATTTAATATATATTGCACTCCCTCGTTATTTTGAAGCAAGTCCAAAATAATTAACTCTTCTTTTAAGATAAGACATTAAGATGAGCAAGAATTTTATCTTTAAGCCTATTGTGTCATATAATGTGTTACCAATACAAATGTCATACCTAGTTTAAGAAAACTGTAATTCAGCATTTTCCACACTTTACCCGGTCATTCACTCTGTGAGCGTTGTGTTCTGTTTTCAAAAGCAAGTGACATTTTTATGGTAGAGAATAGTAGCTGCCAAGTCTTCATCAATATCAATATTATACCTTTTTTCCAAATTAACACATATTTTGATATTTATAAATACTAAGTATTAAAGATTAGTCCCCAGTACAGAAATGTCAATTGACAGTTTTCCTAATACATGGTTAAAAATATGACCCTGTGGGATGTTTTACTTTTCCCCCACTAGTTTAGGAATAAAGTGTTTGAAATAATTATAATGTCTGTATGTCATAATGGATTTCCAGACATTAGCCCATATATTCAGCGTGTTTAGAATAGGATTTTGAGCCAATTTAAAACTTATTTTCAAGGTCTGTTGGAGTCACTTATTACTTGTTTACAATAATTAATTGTTTAAAGTAAAACAATGTATTAATCTCCAGCTTACAGATAAAAGCCAGTAAAATATGTTTAGTATCTCCCTCAGAGTTTCTGGGAATATTTTCCGAAACCATATTCTATACCCACATGTATTTCTGGCTTCAAATTTTGGACAATTGAGCCATAAATAGCCATTGCAGAATAACTGTCATTTCCTTTGTTTTATCCTCTCAGAGTGTTCAGTCCCAATAACCCCTCTTGGGCAAGTATAAACTATAGCAAAGAGGAGTTTCAAACTATTAATAACCTGACATCATAGCACTGGGAAACTAAAACCTCTGAGGATATGAGAACAAAGGATTTTGAACCTTTAACATCAGAAGAATAAAAATGCTTTACTTGGGGTTTGGAAATGGATAAGTGGAGTTTGATTCTTCCTCAGAAATGACCTTTAAATGCATTATGACCTCTACAACATGTGATCTGAAAAACATCTCCTCAAAGGAATGTTGTCCTGTCATAGAAACAGAAGAGCAGAAAGCAGTGAATCAGGGATTTCAGTAGTTTCTCCAAGTGGAATGCATTTGCTTTTATCATTAATTTACACTATCAAAATTAGTATTGGCTGTAGAAATCTTTTGAGTAAGAGGATCACAATGGGGCCATTGGCAATAACAATAATAATGTATTTCAGGAATGGAAAAACAGCACTAATAATTAGTCCTGAACCTGGATAACCAATCAAGTAACCCCACCCAAAGGGCCTCAGTCAATGTTCCATAATGAGAAGAGCCCTATGAGAAAGGTTTCCACTGACCCTAGATTATTTACTATGAGAAACTGAAAATTAAGTCTGCGATGGAACCAATAAATGAAACCTATACATAATAGAGGAGAAATTAGGCCTAGTGAAAGCTTCAGTAGAAATACATTAAAGCTACTTATCCTACCTTAAAGCCAAACCTTACAAAGAAAGCCAACTGTAATAGAACATAAAACGAAAAATGAACTCACTGGAACCAACGGTGTATCTTCTATAGGAAACTTGGAATCATCTGAAATGCATAAAGGCTCGCTTTTCCCACAACTCTCCTGGCTGACGAGCGTGTCCGCGTAGTTGGGCTGGGGGAAGATCACGTGACTCTCCCGCGAGTCCGCAGTGAGGGACACCTCGTGGGAATAGGTCTGCAGGAAAGCCCGCACCCCGTCCACGCCCACAAAGGGCGAGGCCCCCACGCCCACCAGCCCGCCGCCCACGGCCGGCAGCAGACGCGACGCGTGCCAGCGCCTCAGCCTGAGGGCCAGCAGCACGATGACAAAGGCGAGGAAGACGCAGGAGACCGCGGCCACCGCCACCACCAGGTACAGCGTGAGGCCAGACGCGTCCGGGTCGGCCGGGGCCTTCATGCTGTCCAGGTCGGCCAGGACGTCTGGGATGCTGTCGGCCACGGCCACCGTGAGCGTGACGGTGGCCGAGAGAGGGGGCTGGCCGTGGTCCTGGACCGCCACCACCAGGCTCTGCTTGAGCGCGTCTCTGTCCAGCAGGGCCCGCGCTGTGCGCACCTCGCCCGTGTGCAGCCCCACCGCGAAGAGCCCTGGCTCGCTGGCCTTGAGCAGGCGGTAGGACAGCCAGGCGTTCTGGCCCGAGTCTCTGTCCACCGCCACCACCTTGGTCACCAGGTAGCCAGGCTCTGCGGAGCGGGGTGCCAGCTCCACGCCTGTGGACCCGTCGGTGGGGAGGGTGGGGTACAGGATCTCTGGGGCGTTGTCGTTCTGGTCCAGCACAAACAGGCTCAGGGACACGTTGCTGCTCAGTGGTGGGTCCCCACTGTCGGTGGCTGTCACCTGCACCTGCAGATCCCGAAACTGCTCATAGTCAAAGGATCGCAGTGCATACAGAACTCCTGTGTCAGAGTTGATGGAGACATAGGAAGAGAGAGGTGCCCCCTGGATGGTGTCCTCAGTCAAGGAGTAAATAACTCGGGCATTCTCACTGTCGTCGGGGTCGTACGCTGTCACCGAGAAGATGGAGGTGCCTCTAAGGCTGTTTTCTGGGAGGTAGACTGAGTAAGAGTTTTCGGAGAAGGAAGGAGAATTATCGTTGATGTCGACCACCTGGAGGGTGATGTGAATTACCGTGGATAGGGGCGGTGTTCCTCGGTCCGTTGCAGTCACTGTGATGTTATATTCAGGAGTTTTCTCTCGGTCAAGATTTCGGGCTACCAACAACCTATAATAATCTTCCATTGATTTTTCTAATTGGAAAGGTATAATATCCTGGATGGAGCAGACTACCTGACCATTCTTCCCAGAGTCTCCATCATGAACATTGAAAAGAACGATTACAGTTCCTTGAGGTGCATCTTCCCTCACTGGGCTAAACAAAGACGTGACCATCACTTCGGGTCTATTGTCATTCACATCTTCCACCGAAATGAGCACTTTGGTCCACCCTTTCAGTCCCCCACCATCTTCAGCTTGTATTTCCAGTTCATAAAATGCACAGTCTTCATAATCTAGACCCTTTGCTGTTGCTATTTCCCCAGTATTTTCATTAAGCTGGAAAAACGGGGACTGTTTTTCACTAATTTTCCAGAATTTATATGCCACCTCTCCGTTGGCTCCCTCATCCGGGTCGCTAGCTCTTACAGTAAGCAGCCGGGTCCCCGGGGGCACACTCTCTGGGACCTTCATTCGGTAAGTCTGTTGAGCAAAAACCGGGGCATTGTCGTTTGTATCCAACACTGTCACTAGGATGTGCGCCGTGCTGGAGCGACGCGGGTCTGCACCGTCAGAGGCGATGAGGACTAGGCGGTGAGCGGCCTGTTCCTCGCGGTCCAGGGTGCGCTCCAGCACAAGCTCTGGGCTTAGGGTTCCGCGGTCCCCAGTGTGCACGTCCAGGGAGAAGTGGCGATTGGGGCTGAGCTGATAGCTCTGTAGGGAATTCATGCCCACGTCCGGGTCTACAGCCTCTGGGAGTGGATAACGTGTACCGGGCGCAGCGATTTCGTTAATTTTCACTTCCAGGTTATCGGCCTGGAATTTGGGGGCATTGTCATTAATATCAATGACTTCTATTTCTATCCCGTAAAGTTGCACTCTATCCTCAACCAGGACTTTAAAGTTAACCAGGCACCGCGCGCTCTGAGCGCAGAGCTCCTCCCGGTCTATCCTGCCCGCGGTGACCAGGCTGCCGCTCCGCGCGTTCAGGGCAAAGAGCTGCGTCCTACCTCGGGAGACGATGCGCACTCCGCGCTCCGCCAGCTCCCGGGGCTCCAGTCCGAGATCCTTGGAGATATTCCCAACGACATAATCTATTTCTGTCTCTTCCGGGACCGAGAAGCGGATCTGGCTGGCCCTAGTCTTCCACAGCCTCCCCAGGAAAAGGCACAGCAGGACCAGTCTTCTGTGGTGCAGAGCACTCGTTCGAGCAGCCATTGTCGCCTCACTCTTTTAAAAATGCTTTCTATGCATGCTGACTCCTTAGGTCCAATTTTCCTCCTACAAATTATGGTGATCTTTTTCCTCTGGAAAATGTGGAGTGCCCCCAGATTATGAGGCTGAGTTTTGTTACAGCCCTGAAGCCGGTTTGTAGGGTTGCTGGGGCTTTGTGTAGCTGCAGACCCTAGTATATGGACGGCGAGCTGACTGAGCTATCCTCAGAGTTGGTGAACAGCGGCGCTCAGAGTCCTAAGCTATTACTACACATACTGAGATACGCAATTCCAGTTATAGATAACTGGAAAAGAAGGCGCTACTCGCTTCTAAGTATATTTTATATTTCTCTAAATGTTTCTTGCATTCATACTACAAAATGCATAGATTTTCAAAACTCAAGATTCATATTGCCATTTGTGAATATCTTGGTTGGAAAATAAGTGTGGATATTTTAGTTGGAAATGAAGTAGAATGAAATTTCTATTAAATGTATAATTAAATCTCCAGTTTTTTCTTAATATCAAGTTAATTTACTCTTATTCTTGGTAGACTTTTGCTCTCTCTCCTTAGATATGTAAATTATTCCAATCTCTTTTTTTTAATAATGTTTCATCTCTTTCTATATTCATTATCCATTTTCTAAAATCATTAAAAAGTGCAGTCCTTTTTGGAAGTACATTGATATTTTTCTTAACTTCATTTATATATTACATAATTATATTGACTTACCAAATATGGATACATTATGCATTCTTCAGTTATTTTATACTGATAGTAAAATTTCTGGATTAAGCTTTCCTTAAAATTTTGTTTACAAAAATAATTTTAATTAGGCAACATTAATAGATTTTCTCACCTCATACTGCTAAATATTAAAAGGATCATTTTCTAAACTATACATATATGTGACTGTTAAACTTTTATGCTATTTCAAAAAATTTTTCTTGGGCTTTCTATGTAAAAACAGAATCCATACACAGGATAGCATTTGGAAGATTCAACTGAACACACATTGAAAAGCTAGTTTCCATTTCAATTCTTCCATCAAGAAATTATGTAACTTTAAAGTAGTCTTTAACCTCTTATTCTAAGGACCACTTAAACTTAAAAGCAATAATATGGGGGAAAAGAACACTAGATATAGAACAAATTATTACCACTAAAAAGTAAAAGGAGCCATTATAAGAAATTTCTCTGAGCAGTTTGAAGAAACCATTTTCGGAAGCACTACCTAAGGGAAACCAAGCAACAGATCAATACCTACGTACTGACAACTTTCATGTGCCTGAAACTGGTAGTTTTTATCTTAAAAATGGAAAATACAGTATTCTTCATTCTTAAAGATACAAGAATGATGAGAAAAGCTCTAGTCACTAGGGCTTAGGGCTCCAAATAATTATAGACAAAACAGTGACTCCCCCAACACCAACTTTTTCTTTAAAAAATATAGGTCAGGAATGAGAGCAATAGAGGCAATGGCATTTCCCTCCCTTTTTAAAAAAATCAAGTGTCTTTTTAAGGAACTGAGAAAAGGAAGATAAGGATTTTGCACTCCAGAGAATTTGAAGAAATGTAGACAATGATTTGGACATTCTGATGAGTTCACTGAGTGTCTCCCATACACAACACACACACAGTATTTTTGTAACAAATTTAACCATGAATATATACATATAAGGAACTAGACATGAGAAATAAACATAAGAATGGATGGAAATGGTACCACTTAAATCCATGAAGGAAGATACCTACGAGTAGTTTCTTTGCTTTAAAAGATAAATGAAATATTGCCGACTTTAAAATTAATGTTTACTTGCATCCATTAAAAATTTAAATACGTTAAAGGATTGAACAACAGTTAAAATTCATAAGTTTTGGAAAAAGAAAACTAGAACAAAACTTCTGCTGTGGAACAAAGCACACGGCTCTCCCTGCTTTGTAAATCTGAACTTGGTAAGATAATAATTTTATGTTACATAACTACTCCCAACTCATCACTCCCCTTGAAGAATGGAGTACAGCTTTCTGACTGATTAAAATAACCGTAAAACAACTCATTAGTCTTGAAAATGTAATATATTTTCATATAAATATAGAAAATTAGATAGATGATAAAAAGGAGTAAACAGTTAAATAAAACTCACCGAGGTTAGAATTTCCGGATGTGAAGTTGAGTCACTGGAATTACAAAGTGGAAATAAGGCCCCTGATGAATCATTGAAAAGTATATCTTGTCCTGAGCTCAACTGCTCATTACATTTTAGAAAGTTAAATTCTGCCTTTCCAGTATGAGCAACACATAAATCATAGGAATAAGGCAAAGTCCCTTCGCTGTAGTTGGGGGGAGCCACAGGTCCAGACTTGACACACAGACCCGGCTGAAGGCAGCCCCAAGCACCGGGGCTGGACGACTGTCGCAAGCGCAGGGCAACGGCCAGAATCACCGCGAGAAGGAAGAGCACCGAGATCAAGGCCAAGGCCACCACCAGGTAAAACTGCAGC